GATTTTCAGGATTCAAAAGTTGAGCAATGTTCAACTTTTGAAGCTGAGCTGGAAGCGTCAGCCAATCAAATCCCGTTTGTGCAAATCTGACAGTACAAGCGCTAGCCAATCAAACCACGTGTAAACTGGGAGCGACATACCGCAGTTCATTTCCTCATATTCCAAACGAGAAATTACGGTAGCAAATCACCCGGTTCTTTACGACCAGTTCTATTTACCGGGATACAAACCGGAGGAACCAGGCATGGAGGGAGGTGGCAGAGACAGTGGGTGAAACTGGTAGGTTTTCGCCTGTTTGGGGAGTTTATATCCAGTTTACTTCGTTTTAACATTGCTATTGCTTTGTATGTCGGGGCGGGAGATTCATGTTGTTGGTCGCGTTGCTCGCAAAAAATCCCCAAGCTTTCAGACACACCCACCTCCAAGATTTTCAAGATTTTTTCAAAGCTGCTGTGTGGACGGGGCGTGGAGCAAAGTGATTTAATAATTCAGCTGTGCATTTTTGATTCAATGCACAACAGAGAGCATACGTGGCTAGTACAGTATGTATGTTTATATCTGTTGGAGACAGTTATTTAAAAAAACAGGATACAACAATTATTTTTTTGAGTTTAAAAAAGCTCAATATTAATGGATACAATGGCTGGTAGAAATGGCAAGATCAGATTTATTTTCATTTTATGTATGTTGAGATATCTAGTATCTGATTATTAGAACAGGCAAAAAGATTGACTTGGATTGGGTATAGGGAGAGTGGATTGAGCAAGAAAAATATACTTTCCATCAGTTCCACCAACTGCTCAAGGAAGAAGGTCATTTTGATATATAGTCTGCTTTTTTCTTTTTGGAAATATGCTTAAATTATGCATTTTTGAGTTTCTCATCGACTAGCCATTTATCATCTCCAACCAGCTTTACACAATGGTGGAGACAAAGGAAACACACATTTGAATAATAATTTAAGAATACATTTCAGAGATGAAGGAAATTATAGGCTCTATTTTTTTTTTTACTTCATTTGAATTCCCAATTAAACTAACCCACTTTCTAAATATTCAACCTTGCAAGCGTACATTTGTTTGGGTGAAAAATAATAATGAATTGATAAGATATATCTCAACATTTACGCTTCTTTATGCAAGACTGCAATGCAACAATCAATCACAATCAGTTTGTGCCTCCATGGATGTCTAAATTTTTCAGACAATCAAGTTACATCCGTTGTTAGCAATATTGCAATTCCACATTGTCAACGCTATCATCTCATACCTTGAATATATGAGAATGGATGTTTCATTGAAGGAGAATTACTGTGCTGTGCTGTGGGGGTGAAAATGAAGTTATAAGATACGCAAGTAGCTGAAGTAACCTGATTTGCAAAACACCCAAGCCCTCCATAATAACTCAGAGACAGAGGCAGTAATGGAAAAAAAGAAAAAGAGAACTGTGCCTAAGGCTTTGTCATTGGCGATGCCCTTGAGAAAGAGAGAAACGGGGGATTCTAAAATCCTGTGGCATGCCTTTATGTTGTTAAAGGTTACTGCAACAAATTTCCAATTTAAGCTAAGATGCACAGCGTTTGCATTTTAAACATGCACAGGTGAATTCGAAACACACAAGCAAATATTTGTCTATTTTTATGTAGTGTTTGTCTCTTTTTTCACTTTGGCTGAAACCTCCTAGACTTGTGTTCAATTCTGCTTGTGATAAAAATCAAATCAATCAAAGTGGCTGAGCTCACAGATTATTCAGGATGAAGTCACCTCTAAACTCAGTCTCAGAGTGTCCATTAGCCTCTGCACTCATTGCCAGCTCTCCTTTGACTTTGAGTGACAGCCAACCCGGCCAAATTCATTTTCCTGCTGCCGTCGTGCACCCTGCCCACTGTCTCAGCTTTTCCAGGCTGTTGCACTAAAACTCCTGCACACATCAGGGACAGCAGCCTATGGAGGGCCGGCAACACTTTTTCTGCCTCATGGCATACCTCAGAAACTAAGCCCACCACCAGTGACAGCATTAGCTTTTAGAACACGTTATGTATTTCACTGAGAGCTTGAGATATAGTTGATTTGGCTTTGATCGTGCACTAATTCAAGACAGGAGCTGGCTCCACTCCAAATCATCAGATTGGGAAGCTGTTGCCTCCTCTCTTTTTAGTAGCAAAGGCCCAAAACATTAAGCTATTTGTTGATATTAAGTTATTCGGCCAATCTCAATATTAAGTTATTTGATTGCCATTTGTTTTGAGGTTAAGTCATCTTTAACCATAAACGGTTTATCAGAGGTGGAGGTAGTAATTGTGATGTCACCCACCCATTGGTTTGAAGACTACAGTTTTGAAGCCATGAGTTTAACTTTTTTGGCAATCATCATCTTGGTTTTGGCTTTTCAAGACATTTTTGACTCCTAAAAATGCCTTGTTTAGTATTCAATTGTACTTAGCTCCAGCCTCTCGTGTCATTTCTGGTTGCACAAATTCAAAGATTGCAACACCCTCAAACCAAGACGATAATTGCCCAAAAAGTTAAACTCATGGCTTCAAAACTGTTAACAAATAACATTCATGAATTGAAAACACAATTTAAAACGATTAATGTTCTCAGACAAAAAACAAAACAGCACCAAGACCTGAATAACATCTTGGATTTGACCTATCAATCACAAGGAAGCCATTTTAATTAAGCATTCCTTGCTTTAGGATATTTTTCACTACAAATGGCACCATAGTTTACAAAATGATCATCATACTCAATTAAGGTGGACTTTAAACTAGTTTTTAAGCTCAATATTGTATTTAAAAATATATTTACTGAGGTAATACATTACATAAAGCAGTATCATTATCTTATAGACTTCTATACGTTCAGATTTGTTCCTGCAACCTGTGTAGTCGCCTCCTGCTGGTCATGAGAAAGAATGCAAGTTTAAGAAAACGTATGCATTTGTTTTACTTTCATAACTGAGACGCTGCTTGTCTTTATCAAAGTGTGTTTCTGGGGGGCGGGTAGTGTTTTTGCACACTTTAGTGCAACAATAACAGGCTTAAGCCTTAGAGGAGTCACTAGTAAACTAGTGACACAGGGGTGTAACGGTACACGTACCCGTACCGGAATTATTTGGTACGGGCCCTTCGGTTCGGTACATGTGTGTACCAAAGTGTACCGAACGAATATAATGTTAATCGTAAAAAATTGAGAACGTGAACAACTTTTTGGAAGTAATCTCAGGTGCTGCGTCGCAGCATTCAGAGTAATTTGCTCACATTGGGTTCAACGCGTCATAGAGCGAACAAGTCATTTAATTAGACGTGAGGCATACTATGAGAGCTGGTCAGAGGGATGCGTTCAAATGTAGTCAGTAATTTGAGGAACTGTCGAAATGGCGAACGCTGATAAAGTTGAGCTCGAAAATCCTCCAGCATCATTGAAGTCTCCGGTTTGGGAACATTTTGGTTTCGCAGTTACGTACAAGGATGAGGGACAAAGACATGTGGACCGAACCAAAGCTGTTTGTCGGCATTGTTCAACTAAAATTGGTTATGCGGCTGGCAATACATCAAACCTGCACACTGAAAAGGCATCACCCNTCTCCGCTTGTAATGATGCCGTTACAAGCTTCAAAGTTGTATTCATCATCTGAATTTGCCGAAACAAGTTTAATATTCTGAAAGCCAAGACTTTGTTTATTTGAAATCAGATGAAAACAAACTGTAACGGACCCTGCCGTGTTATCTATGATTACTATATGCCTTACATTCATAATTTCAGCGGAGGGAGGGGGAGCGGCGCTGTGGAACAGCAGAGTGGTGAGGGAGAGCTGTCTTCTTCCCTTTACAAGCTTCAAAAATGTATTTATCGTGTGATTTTGGAAATAAAAGTTTCATATTCTGAAAGCCAAGACTTTGTTTATTTAAAATAAAACACCCGAAATAAAAAAAAAAAAAATCTTTTTTTTCCGGCTCATGATAGGCCCCCGATCTCTAGGCCCCTGGGCTTCAGCCCAGGTCAGCTCTTGCATTAAGGCGGCCCTGGGTACCGGTGATATTCACGTTTGGGTGATGCCTTTTCAGTGTGCAGGTTTGATGTATTGCCAGCCGCATAACCAATTTTAGTTGAACAATGCCGACAAACAGCTTTGGTTCGGTCCACANTTTTTAACACAACAAAACATATATATATTTTTTTTTATTATTATTATTAATTTATTATATTATATTTTGTATTTATTTGAGTGAATACATTATTCACAGTTTAATAATAATAATAAAAAAAAATATATATATGTTTTGTTGTGTTAAAAAAAAATTCTGCTGTACCGAAAACGTACCGAACCGTGACCAAAAAACCAAGGTACGTACCGAACCGAAATGTTTGTGAACCGTTACACCCCTAATCGATATTGATTCTGACTCTTCTACATCCAACTCACAGGTTTATCATTGCTTTGAGAAAAAAGATTATTAATTTAACCCTTTTAGAAGGGAAGATATGGTCATTTGTTCTGGGAATGTCATTTTCGAGCCTGAAACCTGAAAAACATGCTTGGGGCCTATATCGTTATTCAAGAGTGGCATGCAAACACAAGGTAATATATTTCCATGCATCTTGAAAGAAGCGAGTCAGAACAAACTATTGTGCCAACTCAAGTGAAGGTGAACGTTTCTTTCTATATTTATAATGCATAATGACCATGACCTTCTGCTGGATTAACATGCCTCTTATCGTTCTGTTGGGGAATGAATCAAATGCTGCTCCAAAATATGTCAGTGCTCCATTATCCAGACAGTTTAACAACGTAAAATCCTCCCGAGGTTCCTTCACCAGATTTAGCTGCAGATGCTGTTCAAACCTGTTGAAGACATAAAGCACTGCTGTCAGAGTGGCTTACAGGCACAAGGCGAACACCGAAAGGGGATGAATCAATCATGAGTGGAATGACCCAGACAGATTCTACAATTACTCAAGAACGTGTCTACAATCCCGGAGCAGGTTAACAAAGAAATGACTAAACCAAACAGATCCCTGTGCTACTGCTTCGGTAGACAACTGAGCAAAGTAACACAGCAGGTGACCCATTTTTCAGAGCAACATCATCATTAGACTAAACCTGGCTTTAAATGGGATAAAAAGCGGGGGTGCTAAATTAAGATCCCATCTGGTGTGAACTGAGACCTCGTAAGTCAACAGTTAGTCACCATGTTTGTGTGCAATGGGATTTTTGGGTTCAATGATGGAGTTAAAAGTGTATGAAATGTTCTTTTAGTTTTTTTTCATAGACTGGGTGGAAATAAATGTGCTCATTCTTACAGTGCTAGAAATACAATGCACAGCCTATTACCTTTGTGCAAAGCGTGACTCTTCAAAGACCCCTTTGCAATAAGTCAGCCATGAACCGTTTTCTTGCATGATAGCATATGTGACACAAAGGTACAGCGATAAAGACAAGAATGTAATCCGATGTCTCTTTTTTTTTTTTCAGGTGCTGAATGTGAGTGTGTTGGAGGGGGAGCAGGTGACAGTGGAGGACACGGGTGGCCGGGAACCCTTCATCCTTGCCAATGAGTCGGTGTTGATGAGAGGCCTCGTTCTCCGCAGCTGGAGCAACCAAATCTCCATCAGATTTCGTGGTGACCAACAGCGCAACTCCATGTTACTCCTGCTCCATTACCAAGGTGAGTCAGTACCATCTTGGATAGGCTTTTTCTCTGGCTGAACCCATTTTCATTTTGATGTAGGTGAAAAACGCTCTTCTTGTATTCTTTTAGACCGATAACAATTGCCTTGAACTGCGCTTAACCCAGTTTACAGAAATGATGTCCTTTTTAAATAGATGCAATATGTGGCCAAACTGAAAAATAACAGTAACACATACAGCACCAACGCCCTAATGCATATCCTACTTTATCTTCTATTTTACTCTTAATGGGACCATTATTTACTCAAAGGAAATCATGCTGTATTGACAAAGACTTGAAACTAGCGATTGAGACCATAAACTTAATAGGAAAATATAAACAAAGGCAATAAATCGACTGAGAAGTAAGGGTCATTCTGTCACAGACTTCTATATAATTGATCTATTTGCAACCATTGGAGTTGCTTCATTTTTCAGACCAGGAGATTGCCACTTAGTCTGAACTCTATGACAGAAGAGAAGATAGCTTTACCATTGATATCAACACATTCAAATGTTTTGTGAGTGCTGATGATACACATAAATGAGATGAAATCAAATGAGATCAAATAGTGACTGCAAGAGAAGATTGTGCGCCAGAATCGACAGCAGATATGGTTACTGTATGTTTTGGGTGAATATTATGGCCCATAAATCCATCCCCTCTGTCTTTTGTTTCGTGTGTGACACTGATCTCCCATGTCCGCAACAATGTCTGTTTATCTTAGCAATCACACAAAGTGGCCAGCAATTACATGCCCCATCGATTTGAGTTCATGGTGGATGCTGGTGGACAAAACATTCATTCCACCACATTACTGTGGCACTTTCATCAGCTCGAAAATGAAAGTGACCATCAAAACAGTGCTGCTGACGTGAGATAAATCAGCCTGTCGCTGTTGGACGTGTGAATATTGCTGTGTGGTCAGGCTGAAATGATGACAGTGAGAGGTCAGTGCTGATCATACAGGGTGGTGCATAGATGGGGACACATGGTTACAAATGGAGGAAATATATTACGCTGTCAGTTCTAATGCGTTTCTCCTTCTCTTGACATACTCAGCAGAATTGCATGCAGTGTTTACCAGGTTTATTGATGAAAATACCATGTGCCTTTCTTTGGAATTTTCAAGAGTAGCAAAACAAGCAAAAAGGTTGTTTTGGGCGATTATGTTGGAAAGTGGAAAGGAAACATCCAAAATAAACATATGGGTGTTAATATTGTTATGAACGGCCCATTGGCCACAACAGAAAAACCTGTACTTAATTGCCCAAAAGCATAAGACAATACATAATGTTTTAATAGTAGTATGCAGCTAATGCCAAAAAGGCTCTCCAGGAAGACTTTGTGACACTATACAGAGTGCCGATGCCCTTCATTTTAAAAATGAGACCCATGATGCTGCATTTGCTCACAACACTTCTTAAGGAACATGAATTATTGAGTGGTTCCATATGTTCGATGCAAACATCATATCTAGAATAAGCTCAAAATCAAGAGAAGGCACACAACTAGAATATTGTACATGCATGTGTGCAGGTTCATACTCACTTGAGATAATGATACAAGAGCCAAAGTTTTGGTTAACATGCTAAATGTTTGCTCCTGAAATATCAGCTGTCAGTACATTACAACACAGAATTCAAACAGAGCCGCAAAACAATTCACATCAAGTTCACCATATCTGATTAACTTAAATTAAAGCTTGTCTATTGTTGAACTATTGAAATATATATTATGTGCTTTTGAAGCCACATGTTTTGTGTTTTTGGCTATCCCCACTTTTGTAGAGTGTGGGACTTAGTGATTAAAGACTAAATTATAAACAATACATTTAAAGGCAACTAAAACAGTATTATTATCTTCAATTAACCAGAAACACACTATGAATGAGGTAGAGTTCTAAGACAAAAACAGCGATATCTCCCAAACCAGACATCACCATGGTCGCAACCTGTCAAAAACTGATTTGTTCATGTAAATTACTTTAAATGTGACCATAATTTACAGAATAAAAGTCCTTCTGTATTAAAAAAGACTTGAAACTATCAATTGAGACTATGAACTCAATAGGAACATGTATAATTAGGTAATGCTGATCATTATTTCATAGATTTACATATATCAAGACTCCCTTTGGTCGCCCCTTGCTGGATATTAAAGACAAATAAGTTTACGTTTTCCGACTTGGAGTTTGCTGCCGGAGTCCTATTCTGAACAATCAGTGCTTTTGTATTTGCTGTAAAGTGTCTCTACTGTAGGCTATTTTTATTATATGTACAGCACTTTGGCTTGACCAAAAATCGTTTATAAATGTGCTATATAAATAAAACTTGATTTGATGCACTTTTCAATACTTTTAATGAATTTCAAAATGAATTATTTTATTAAAAAAATACCATATTTCACTTTAACTTAACATACAACCTTTAAATAATTGTGTCTACTGTATATTCCTCAGCACTTTTTCATTTGAATAATTCTGAATCTATAACCGTGTGTTGTCAGCAGTGGTGGCCTGCAGGCAAATGTGTGATGTTCCACCAATCAATCGCCTTCAAAGTTGATACCAATTTCGATACAGTAATGAGAAGAAATGCAATGAGCAGATTTTCTGGAAGAGTAGACATATTGGATACGCAGAAGATATTTCAATTTGTGCTCCTCTCCCCTTGGTGAGCAGAGTATCACCTTGTCTGTATAATAGGCTGTGAGAAATGTGATTGGACAAGCGTGGAGAAGGGGACAGAACTGTGCAGAGATGGATCTGAGCTCAGGGTAATTAATATCTGTTCCAGCGCTGGCTCGGCCTGCCATGGCAGATTGATGGATGCCTCTACACACTATAACACCAACAGTGGGCCTAACACTCGGAACATGATTATAGGGGTGTTTTACTATATGCATGGAGTCCCAAGTAGGACTGTTGGAAAGGAGGGAAGCATAGCACTTTCCTTGTACATCCTTATTCATTATTACCTTATCTTTTCTTCAGATTCTCATCTACATGAAGCATTCTTTGTATTCAACAACAATGTCCACAGAGATATCTTCTGCAGCTACAGCATTTGAACAACAAAACAACCAACGGTGCATGAATCTAACAACAAACCATGCATGCAACATAAATTATGTTTCACATAAAAACTGTGTTATGTAAATATAGTGTAATGTGACTGTTGTGTTTGTAATGGCTTTTATAGGAAACACACCCAAAAGACACAAAAAGTAAAAAAATACACACATGAACTCTTACAAACCTTATAATATTTGCGAATATCAAACAAAGACATGCAGGAATATTTGCTGTATTAAATCATGTTTTTCTAACAAACAAACGTGAAGATTATTGGCCTGTCTTGGTGCGTGCTACCGATTTGTTACATTACTACCTTACAATATAAAGGTAACATTTTATAATTGAATAACCTGTTTCTGCAACTGTTATTTTGTTCAGACCAGTTGGACGATTACTTGCAATAACTTTTCATTATATATCAGCACACAACGAGAATAATTGTATCACATGTATTTCTTGGGGGTAAATATATGCAGACAAGTGCTTCTATGTATTTACTTTTTTATCTTTATTTCATTTCCCCAGAGAACAGAAAAATAAACAGTGATGTTATTCACACTGGGTTGATCATATATTATTGTCAACAATTGTTAATGGCATTCAGGCCTGGCTTAATCTTCACTATATGACACAGTTTTATTTTGTGACACAATTAACAATGGGTTGAGGCAATATACAGTGGGGCAAAAAAGTATTTAGTCAGCCACCAATTTTGCAAGTTCTCCCACTTAAAAAGATGAGAGAGGCCTGTAATTTTCATCCTAGGTATACCTCAACTATGAGAGACAAAATGATAAAAAAACAATCCAGAAAATCACATTGTCTGATCTTTAAAGAATCTATTTGCAAATTATGGTGGAAAATAAGTATTTGGTCATTAACAAAAGTTAATCTCAATACTTTGTTATATACCCTTTGTTGGCAATGACAGAGGTCAAATGTTTTCTGTAAGTCTTCACAAGGTTTTGACACACTGTTGCTGTTATTTTGGCCCATTCCTGCATGCAGATCTCCTCTAGAGCAGTGATGTTTTGGGGCTGTCGCTGGGCAACACAGACTTTCAACTCCCTCCAAAGATTTTCTATGGGGTTGAGATCTGGAGACGGCTAGGCCACTCCAGGACCTTGAAATGCTTCTTACGAAGCCACTCCTTCGTTGCCTGGGCGGTGTGTTTGGGATCATTTTCATGCTGAAAGACCCAGCCACGTTTCATCTTCAATGCCCTTGCTGATGGAAGGAGGTTGTCACTCAAAATCTCACGATACATGGCCCCATTCATTCTTTCCTTTACACGGATCAGTCGTCCTGGTCCCTTTGCAGACAAACAGCCCCAAAGCATGATGTTTCCACCCCACTGTTCTACAGNGGCTAGGCCACTCCAGGACCTTGAAATGCTTCTTACGAAGCCACTCCTTCGTTGCCTGGGCGGTGTGTTTGGGATCATTGTCAAGCTGAAAGACCCAGCCACGTTTCATCTTCAATGCCCTTGCTGATGGAAGGAGGTTGTCACTCAAAATCTCACGATACATGGCCCCATTCATTCTTTCCTTTACACGGATCAGTCGTCCTGGTCCCTTTGCAGACAAACAGCCCCAAAGCATGATGTTTCCACCCCCATGTTTCACAGTAGGTATGGTGTTCTTTGGTTGCAACTCAGCATTCTTTCTCCTCCAAACACGTCTCGTTGAGTTTTTACCAAAAAGTTCTATTTTGGTTTCATCTGATTGACTGGCTCTTTTTTTTTGTAGCAGTCTTGGATGTGTCAAGGATTGGCAACAAACATTGATTTTTTTGCATTGTTGGTTGCATTCTCCCAATCCTCTTCTGGATCATCTAAATGCTCTCTAGCAAACTTCAGACGGGCCTGGACATGTACTGGCTTAAGCAGGGGGACACGTCTTGCACTGCAGGATTTGAG